CTAGAGGAGTCTTTCAGATGTCTCTGAATGTTCTTTCTACTAATAGACATACTGATAACTTTCAAAGAAAAACTGTCAAATGACAAATAAGGAATATATTATGGAAAATTGCCATCTGGAACAACTCATATTACAGGTATTTTACACATGCAGAAAACAATGAGGTGAGCCATTCCACATGATAAATGTTACCTAGTGAAAATGTAAAAAGTTGTATTTATGTCTCTTTTTCACTTATAAAGTAATAGTAAATGTTTTTCCTAACCACTTGAAAACAATTGCTGTAAGAGATATATTCTGCCAAGATTATGGTGTAGTTACGCATACTTAGAAATACAAACAAAAGCACCAGGTCCTGAAAAATAGTACGCAGTCTTTCAGCACTTACTTTTTCATAAGTTCTGCAATTCTTTGGCATTCTTCCTTATCATAAAACCAAATTCCATAAATGGACACTGCAAAAACACATCAAACAAATTATGAGCATCTTCAAAACTACAAAATGGAAAGAAAGTCCCTCTCCATCTTGAAAGAAACACACAACTGTTGAATAAATGAAACCAATCATTGGAATTAAAGCTTGAAAACCTAACACTAGAGTTTATTTATTTATTTATTTTTCTTTATTGATTAAGGTATCACATATGTGTCCTTATCCCCCCATTAGAATTTTTTAAGCACACAGAGAAATCTATAGTGGTCTTATGCACACATACACACACACAGGCACACACACCCAATATAAGTCTGTTGTCCTTAAAAATATAGCACCGGAACATAATAAGCATTTGGTAAATGCTTCTTAATGAATGACTAGAGATTGAAAATGAAATTGGAATTCTAAACTCCTGGCTTTGAAACATAATGTTTCCATATTCCATTTGCACATTTCACACACATATTTCATCTTTATTTTCAGGTATTCAGATACCTGATGCACAAATTAGGTCTAGGAACCCCTCTCTCTTCTTCTCCCAGGTAAATGTTAACTGAGAAATTGGCTTTGTAAGATGTAAGTTAGGATAGGGTCTGGAAAAATTAGATTCCATAATAAATCTCTGACTTCAAAATGTCTGTACAGAAAATTTACAATTGTTGATAGCTTAGAAACAACTGTGACTATCATTTAATAATGAATGAGTAACTGGTATTGATCAATATAACAATTTTCCAATAAGTTGTATACTTTGGTATGGGCCTATCTATATCATTTTTATAGCAAAAGCTAAAGAGTTCCAAGCAATGTATAAATACCTAATTGAAGACCTGGTGGTATTACTCACATAAATAATGCACTCATTACATATACATTTTAAAATCTTCATTGAAAATAGCAGTAATGTTATAAGGCAATGAAAACCAACAAAACATATTTTTTAAAAGGAAAAACATTTATAATTTATACTTTCAAAACATCCTGTATAATAAAGAGGCGGTATGCAATTTGACCATCATACCCTTGCACAAGATGGCTGCCACAAGATGGCTGGTAGGGGAGGGCAGTTGTGGGCGATCAGGCCAGCAGGGGAGGGCAGTTGTGGGTGATCAGGTTGGCAGGGGAGGGCAGTTGGGGGCAATCGGGTCAGCAGACGAGGGCAGTTGGGGGTGACCAGGCCGACAGGGGAGGGCAGTTAGGGGCGATCGGGCAGGCCGGCAGGCAAACGGTTGGGAGTCAGCAGTCCCGGATTGTGAGAGGGATGTCTGACTGCCAGTTTAGGCCCAATCCCACAGGGATTTTGCGCACCGGGCCTCTAGTCCTATATAATAAAAGGGTAATATGCAAATTGACTCTAACAGTAGAATGACCAGATGACCACTGGGCCAGTCACTATGAGGTGCACTGACCCCCTCTTGGTCCCTTTCCCTGGCAGGTAGGCTCCAATTGCTGCAGGGGCGGGACCAGAGAGTGGGCGGAAACAGCCAACCTCTTGGTCCCTTCCCCTGGCCATTAGGCACCGATCACCCATGGCGAACGGGAACCAGGGGTGGGTGGTGGCGGGAGGCGGGACTGGCTGTGGGGAGCTGGGGGAGATGGCCCTGATTGCAGGCCAGGCCTAGGGATTGTACCCGTGCACGAATTTCTTGTGCCGGGCGTCTAGTTTAATCATATAAATATTATTTGGTCATTAAAACAGCTGTGATGTTTTATTATTATTATTGTTGATTTCAGAGAAGAAAAGAGAGAGAGAGAAACATCAATGATGAGAAAGAATCATTGATTGGCTGCGTCCTGCACACCCCACAGTGGAGATCAAGCCTGCAACCCGGGCATATGCCCTGACTGGGAATCGAACCGTGATATCCTGGTTCATAGGTTGACACTCAACCACTGAGCCATGCCAGCCAGGCTGTGATGTTTTACCAGTAACCACGACATTTCCCCCCACTCACCAGACCAATGCTTTGGTGTGTATATCTGCTTCTTGTCAATAATGATTCAGATGTCAGTAAGTATAGGAAATGTCTTTTTAGTGTAATTTTAAGCAGGTATCTTAAAAGGAACCTTATAAATCTGAATTACTAACTTGCCGAAAGGTAGCAATGGGCTTTTAACTTCTTGTATGATTAGTGTACCAGGAGTCTTTATCTTACCTACCTACATGTATGAAGGGGTAAAAGTGGAAGAAACCAGCTTTTCCTTGAACAGGACCATTTTATCTTCTTAGAACTTCATATCTTGCCTTTAATACAATGACAATCTCTTGAAAAAGAACATCTGAGTTCTGAGCTAATGGGCTGTAACAGACTTTATGTCAAAAAGAAATTCTTTCATCTCAAGATCATTAAATGTGTATCTTGAAACTTTTATTCAAGGTTGTTTCCAGTCCATCAACATTAATTGTTTTACCCTGATTGCCTACACATATTCCTACATACTAACCCACCTAGTTTCATGTTCTTGTAAATAGTACATGCCATTTGGCTATTTAAGAGGTTTATGTGTTTTGGTGGTTTTAATCTTAGTTACAAAACTAGGAACCTGGTCTATTTTTGGGTTACCCATTTTTTTTCCTTGAAGACTGAGTCTTCCAAAACTATCAAAGGAGAAAAGGGGTAGCATGGGAGACAAACAGCATAGCTAACAACGTTCGAGGTCCAATGGCAGAGGAAAAAACAGCCATTTGGTCTCATCAGTAGGACATATTAGTAGAAATATTTTGGGTATCATTTTTTTTGATGTTACACATTTGTGGCATTTGACATAAGGAACTAGATTTTCATAAGGGTAGGATGCCAAGTAAACCATTGATACAAACAGAAACACAATTTGACAATACCATTACCATGAGATAACTGAAATGCAGAATTAGGGAAGGAAAATGCTACAGAAACATCTTTCAGATGTCAAAGAATGAAGGAAGACTGGGTTTTAAAATGATTATATAAGATATTGTGGAGATTTCTTTAGGGCATGACCATTTATCTATAAAGCAACTTGACTTTAAGATTAAAATGAACCATTTTGGAATAGCTCTTTTCATTCCAGTTAATATTTAGTTTGAACACAACATTTAAAAAGCCAAAGGGGGTGGGGGCGGGGTGGGAACAGATTTACCAACAGTCCTGGCAACGGAAAGGTAGCACCAAGATAAAATGTAGAACTGGGCCTAATTTTTTTCTCCCTAAAATAGTTTTGCCACTTGAGCTGCATTCCACTGGGAAAGGGGCAGCAGTGAATTACATTAAAGTGCACATTCCAACTGAAGTTTTCTGTTTCTTAGGCCCAAGGTCCACCGACCCCTGGACAAACCTATCACTCTTCTACACAAGAGAGTGTATCAGAGCAGCTCGTGGTGACAAATAAAAACCAGAGATCATCATGCCTTGGGAGGTGATGAGCTGCCAGGCTGACAGAAACCATTAACCTCACATTTCAATCCCAGTTTTCCTGTAAAGCCACTGGGGGAGAGGCCACCTTACGTAGACAGTGAGCACAGCAGGAAGGAAAGAAAAAGACAAGGTTGAGAAGAACCACAAAAGAGATGTGGTTTTTAGGATTCTAAAACTTAAAGTCATTCCTGTCACCTAAATTTGCAGTGATGTGATATGGCCGCATTAACTTATGCAGCTCGGAAATGTGACTGTGAGAATGATTTCTAGGTTTTAAAAAATTACAAGGAGAAAAGCTCACGAGCAGGATATTTGCTTATTTTAAAAATTTGACCTATTAGTACGCATCTGGATATTCACCATGCTTCGAGCCTTTGTTCAGCCTGCTATGCCTGCATACCAGCCGCTTCCCAGTCACCCGTCTGCTGAAACAGAGGTGAAGTTTAAGGGCACTTTGGTGCATGAAGCTCAACTCAACTGTTTTTACACCCCTCCTGGAGGTAAGAAACCCAAAAGTGGAGTAAAGAATAGAAAGAACATGTTGAAATTTACTCTAAAATACTTTAATGATGCCTAGAATGTGTGACTCCCCCACTCTAAGGACTCATCTTTTTGGCAGTCCTCTTCATATTTAATACAGGATCTTTAACAGAACAGTTGTGAAATTGTGCCTAAAATTGCACTGCCCTGGTTTATGTCATGATTTGGAAATTCTCAGTTGGATAAAAGAAAAGCAGTGTTCAGGGCAACAGGCAATGCAACATTGCCTCTACTTATCTGCTAAAACACCAATCTTCTACTTGCCTTTTAATTCTGCAAGAAAGATTAAGGAAAGCAAAAATTTCCATATTAGATTTCATGTTTGATGAGAGTAAGCTGATTATTTCATAATGATATTTTCTTCTTTTTTAATTTCTTCAGCAGAAAAATCTAAAGCTGATCAAATTTAAGAGGCTACTTCAGAGGTCATTAGAGGCAGTATCAAATATCCTTAAATGCACATCCATTTAGAACCCCTTTTGCTTATTAACATGACGCATTAGTTCATTCTGGATGCTCTTTGGGGATTTACTTCATTTAGTTTATGTTCCTAATAAATATTTCTATACAATCTGTTCTTTTAAGACATTTATCATTTGTTTTATATTTTATCCCAAATATATTTACATTCCAAATCACAAACGGTAGCTTACAACCTTTTAACAAGGATTCATGCTAATATTTGTGCAAGTTTAAAATACGGCATATTTCCATATAGGTAGTAAGTAGATAATAAATAATTATATAGGTAAAATTTAAACAGACAGAGTAAGAATATCTTATGTGGTAATGCTCTTCTCTCTCTCTCTAAATTGCAAATTTCTCTCAAAATGATAGGAAAATATATTTTTCTTGGTCAGTATGTAGCAAGAAGTCATTTAAATTCTCTTTTTACTAGGAAAGTCATGAAAAAGTGACATTGTAAATTATACAGATCTCTTCTGGGCACTTAAAGATAAACCAAAATTTAAAAAAATTCCTTCAAACCCCGTTCCTTTCATGAAGTCTTTCTCAAATGAGTGGACTGATAATCCCAATATAAGGACCAAGAACTTCTAATCATGTATTTGGTGGAAACAATATA